CGTCACCCTACACACGGTTACTCAATGAATACCGTACTCTACAGTAGACATTTTTCGCTCTCCACCAAAAATTGAATGGTTTTATTTCATATTAGTTGTGTCTGTGTCAGTGTCGTATTTGATTTCACATGTTTGGTTCGATCTTGTTTATGGTGGACATTATTACTACGCGTATGTATTATTACCAATTTTATATGGCCGTATTTTTTCAACGGTCGTTCTATAAATTTTTGATTGTATTTATTCTTATTTTAACATCATAAAAACAAAAATGACACACTTGTACATGAAACAGTAGGTAATGAACTGTAAATGCGGGCGGTTGCGCTGTCAGGCGAGCGAGCGAGCGATTGCGCAAGCGGATACTTCCGGATTTGCGCATTCGAAAAAAAAGCGGACATTGCGCGGTCGAATTGAACAAAGCGAGCGAAAAAAAACGCGATCGAAATCCGGAAGCGGGCGGGAGGTTGGGCGAAATGAGTACTGTATGCACATGCAGTGGTTTAGTGATTCGATTCAAAATGGCCGACTGGCAGCCATCTTGTTTTTTGAAAATGTTGTATTTTGGACATGCTTTGTCAGTTGTCATTCAAACAAGGTACATAGATTAAACATGTTAGGATACATGTCCATGACGATTTATTTCGCAATTGGATCAAAGATGGTCGACTGGCAGGCATCTTGTTTTGTTTTTTTATGCGGTATCTTGGACGTGCTCTGTCAGTTTTCATTCAAATTTGGCACATACATGTACTTTATACATGTTAGGATGCATGTCCATGACAATTTGTTTCAAAATCTGGTCAAGGATGGCCGATTGACAGCCATCTGATATTTTGGCCTTACTACTATATTTCCGCAATTTATGTACCATTTTCATTCGTATTTGGCACATACATCATACATATCAGTGTGTTTCATAATCAGATCAAAGATGGCCGAATAACGGCTGTTTTTATTTTTGGCCATATTACTACTACACGAAACACGTGTTTTAATGTAAATAAACAATCTGTTGTATACGCCACTTGGAACTCAATTTTCAAGGACACGCTCTCGACAACCCCTCCGCTTTATAATATGACGAGCACAAAGAGAAATTTCAAAAATTTAACGGAGACTGTGTCATTTTCAATGACTTGTTTGTTTGTTTTTTGCCAGTATGACAATTGGTGAACATTTTGTTTTCAATACTGGCAATTGGCAGGCATTTTGTTTTTTTCAAGAATGCTGTTCCATGCAAAGCCATATCTCTGACATACTTGTCTTAAAGATAGTCAACTGTGGACATTTCATTTGAATTGAGCATTTCTACTATCCCAAAATTATCTGCAAGCGGTTTTAAATTTTTAATATACTCTGGAAAGGGGAAGAGTCATTTTATTGGTGGCACATCCCTATCATTCTTTCATTGTAACTTATCTGTTCTATACAGTTGTTGTAACCAGTGCAGTGCTACATAAACATGTGTGAATCCTGGTAATGAGTTGTTTGAGGCCATTCAGAATTCTGAATGACATGTTACGATTTAAAAATTCAAATCTAATATAAATATTTTTTCAGGCAGCAGTTTGGTAGGCCGCTTGCAAACACCCAGTTGATGCAGAAAAAGATGGCGGACATGTTGACTGAAATTACTCTTGGTTTACAGGCATGTTTGAGAGTCGGTAGACTTAAGGATGAAGGAAGGTGAGTTACCATAGGACAAAAGGCATGTTTAAAGGGGAACCTTTCAAGCCCAGGGATTGCACCTAAGAATCGTGGGACACTATTGTTTATGTTATTTGTTATCCATTGTAATTTTAATCCAGAAAGTAAATTTGTTGTGAGATTAAGCTTAACTGGAAGTGCCATTTTAAGAGTTGGTAGACTCAAAGATGAAGGCATACGAGTTGCCCAGTGTTCACGTTAGCATCGATTCAAATAAGTTACAAAAATAATTGTGTGAGAAAATCAGTGTATTACCACTGAAGAAAACATGACATTCTATTTTTTATGAGTTCAACACCTGCCAAAGACTATCAGTGATAGACCATAAATAAGATTGTACAAAGTTAATCTATTCACCTGTGATTGAATTATTAAATTCAACATGAAATTGTAACGAATAAACATGGTTGATGAATATTAGTACAATCAACAAAGTACTTTGTGTGAGTTGCAGGTGGGACTGGGGCAAGTGGCACTGGGGCAACCTTGTACTTATGACAGATTTCATCTGTCTGTATTTCTTTTGTAAGGATTCACTGTCAATGGGAGTGGCAATATTGACATCATCACGATCTTTGAAATACTTTACCAGTGTTCCCAATGCTTCAAGAAAATGTGCGGCATTCAATCATTCGACCTTGATGTATGTTGTTTTATTTTTTGGATCAGGTTCAAAAAAGCTGACTGGCGGCCATTTTTTTTTTAAAGAATACAGTTCCAGATTAAATGATTCAACATATCTGGCCAGTTCAAGTTCAAGCATACATCATACATCTTTTCTGGCAATCGCACATGCATTTTTGTTACCATCAAATCCAAAATGGCTGACTGGCGGTCATCTTGTTTAAACAAATGCAGTTTCATGAAGTTGTATCCTCTACATGCCTGGACCAATCAAGTTAGAACTTCACACATCAGGTTATATATCTTGCATCTATAATACAAACATGTCATTGATAATAACATGCTATTATGTAAAAATGACAATGAAACAACTAGGTGTACTTACTTTTCTGATGTTCTTTATTTTCTCAGAGCTGCTCCTGAGATGATTTCATTGGTGAAGCGTAACTCATGTGGTAAATCATTAGATATTGCAAGGGTATTGTCGAGACATGCTAGGGGCTAATGGCATTGTAGATGAATATCACGTTATACGACATTTATTGAATCTAGAGTCTGTCAATACATATGAAGGTAAGTGACTGACATGTATGAGGCTGTCCAACATTAAAACTTTAGTAACAAGCCAAGCATCTTTGCTTGTTTATCATCTGATGGTCATGTTCAAATTATGACTTTTATGGATAAATTTCGAGACCTTACTGAAATAGAACTGATGTACCTTTATTTATCAAATGTGGTACAATACGTGATACTGATCAAATGCAAACAGATGTTACAGGCATGTTCAAACCCAATTTTGTTACATTATATCACTTGTTGTTTATTTGTTATGTCATAATCATGGGTTCTTGAAGTCTACATCAGACAAGGGCCATTGATTCCATCTGAGTTCATTAAATTTTATGGAATATAAGAGTTATAACTTCTAGTATTTCTATAATTGTAGGTGCCCATGATGTCCATGCATTGATTCTTGGTAAAGCAATTACTGGCCTCCAAGCATTCAAGTAATACTGCCTGACACCTAAATACTGTTGTCGAGATGATGTCTGACCATATTACACATGTTGCATAATATACAACTACTAACTTTCTTTGCTCCATTGGAAGCACATGTGCTTGTGTACAAAGCGCTGTTGACAAGTCACTATTAACAAATTACATTGCAACTGTGGTGTATTACAAAGCTGACCAATAATATTTGGTTATGTAATAGTCTCTATTGCATACAATACATAAATCTATATCTAATAAAGTTAATTAGGTGCAGGTGCTTCTTTAAACAACTCCAAAAACTTACTCTTCTCAGCAGCAACTTCCTTCTGATGTTGACAATATGACCACAACAACAGTAATAACACTATGATTTACTTGTTTTGGGAAGGTTTGATCCCAATCAAAGATTATATTTCATGTTTGTCCATACTTTCATTGTTATGAGTTCATACCATCAGAATACGATAAATGGAAAAAAAATGGGGTCACTGGATGATTTTCTGAATTATCATTGAAATTGGTCAATTTTGTTGACACTGGTTTCTATGGTGCGATTATTTATTCAAAATATTGCTCAGTGACATAGAATGAAAAAGTTGTATATTATTATTGATGTGAAATCATTTCAAAAATGTCAAGGTTTGAAGGTGATAATAGTTTTCCATCATTAAAATGTGAGGTTATCTCCCATAACGAATTGCATTTATGTGCAGTAACATGCTCAGTAGTGCAAAATTTGAAGTTTGTATCCCATAATGCATTGCATTTATGTGCAGTAACATGCTCAGTAGTGCAAAATTTAAAGTTTGTATCCCATAATGCATTGCATTTATGTGCAGTAACATGCTCAGTAGTGCAAAATTTGAATTTGGCTCAAACTGTGTGTATCTATTTAAATCAAATGGGTACTGTTAAATTAAATTAAATGTAATGCCTTTCATATAGTTGGTGGTTGTCGCGCCTCGCATGTGCAACATTTGTGTTGATCAACATTGATTTTCCCACAATCCAGTGCGCTTTTCTAACAAAATTACAAGTACGAGTTTTGCCCTGGGCGTTGCTTTCACTAATTACTGCTGACCGCTACTTCGATACCTTCCATTCACCAAAACAATTTACGTAATTAAAACTTGGCAACCTCTCAGTTTGTACTCGTTGCTCTGTGCAACAGACTAAGTCGTCTTTTTTGTTTATATGAGACCCAACAACCACAACCCTTTAACTATATGATAGGTATTACATTATTATGATCAAATGGTTTTAATTGTTGTGAGCTGGTGATGGAGCTGATGAAATATAAGTGGCCGAAATAAAACTCTTACTCTGTTATTAATAATAAATTCATTTACTAAATTAAAATATATTTGTTCCATAAGTTATATTAAACTCAGCTTATTGTATTTTCATCAATATGAACACTATGTACATAATGATTGTATGTTTTACCACAAACTAAACTACCAATATAAGATTTACAGTTATTTAATTATATTTTTATGCTATGTCTGTCTGTGTTTCATAGAGATGAATTGAAACTTCCTACTCATTTCCATGCCTTCTTCTAGTACGTGTTGAGTAGCAGCAGCCATGTCAATCAGACATTTTAGCAAACTTGAGTCTCAGGATCAGACCAAGGTGGTTTTGCCTTCTTATCAGGGCAAACTTCAAAAAGGCAAAAGAAATTTTAGCAAACTTGAGTCTCTGGATCAGACCAAGGTGATTTCCCCTGCTTATCAAGGCAAGTTTCAAAAGAGACAATTTAGCAGACTTGAGTCTCGGGATTAGATAGCATATAAATGACAGCCTAGCAGCATACATGGCAGTTACAGTGACTTACTCATGGTCACTCCTGGGTAAAACTTCACTGCTCATAGATACTAAAAGAATTTCTTCAGTTGGCCCTGTAACTATACACCAGAGTCCCAATGTTTTATTGAATAATTTCAATTAATATACTAATGACGTCTTGGTATGTCATCCAAGCATTAAAATTGTTCTGGCCTGAACAGTTTTCAACTCTCTCTGACATGCTATTTACACCAAAATATCAAAACTCGCAGCTGCATGGGTATTGTGCATCGACAGAAGTCTGTGCGAACCCTATTGACAAACATTGTGAATTGAACCAATTAGAGTACAGAGCCAGGTCCCACATACTTGACTGCATTCCACTCTTCATAGTCCTGTTGGTTCATGCATGCTTGTGTATGGGGAAGTTGAAGATATCAGTTACAAGTTTGCTCTATCAGTGGCAGACAGTACAACTAATGCGTCATTCGGTTCATAGTCACGAAACATATTAATTAATTACTAATTAGTCTGTACCCAGGTTTCAGTCCTGGTTTTTACACCTACAGCACATCTTCACATTTCTGAGGTCATTGGGGGTTGTGGTTAACATCAGGATGTCCTAGTTGTGCCACACAATTGAACTATTAAAGAACACAGTGTCTGTATAATGAGTCTTCTTATGAGCTGCATCGTTGCTCATACCCGTACAGTGACTTCAGCTGATTCAGAGGTGTCTAGAGTGACCTGTGTCTGCAGGAAGGTGGTAGACCATCACCAACCACCTGGTGGTCGAAATGCCCTTTATTATGTCTCTTCCAACAGTACCAATTCTTACAGACATCGGCTGGGACGCACATATGGTGGACTTAAAGGAATTTGAAAGTTGTTGAAAGCTGTTCAGCTTGCTCCAGAGGCTTTTCTATCATCAATTCAGAGCAAAGTTATTAATTACCAATTAAGAGAATGGGGACGAAGCGAATTTCTTATGTTGGTGTTAATCATTGTCGAATGTAAAAACATTGGGGCGATTTCATCAACAAGGGGATAGACGGCTGTTTGTTTTATGCCTGCAGCCAGGCATCAAAAGGTTTGTCACAGAACCTAACACAAAGATAGTGGTGTGCTAGACATACACCCAATGTCAGACAACTTATGCATGGGAAAACGCCAACACATCCGCCAAATTCTATTGATTGTGCGAACACACACTATCACCCAAAACCACCATGCCTTTGATGCCATTCCTACTATCAGTCGGTGCTCTTAGACTAGTCTCTTCTTTCTCTAGCACAAGACAGGAGACAAGAACTGCGGACACTATCCTAGTCCTAAGTGCACGACCTTTCAAGTAGTTTCAGTCACCTGAATGACATTGCGTGGATGCCGAGACAAATAATAAGGTGTTAAAAAAATGTAGATTAAGATTAAGAATATTATTAATGTGAAAAGTTCAGCTTCTAATTTCATCACAAATATCTACAATCTAATACTGATAAATGGGAAATGTCAGTTATCCCGTCACTCAAGGTTTCCATATCACAATAAATCAACATAAATTCGTATGCAGAATAGAAAGAAGTCTATTTAAAGAAGTCTGATTGTGATTTATTTAAACAAATGGGTAGATGTGGAACGTTCGTGCATTTTGTGTATTTATAATTACTCGTACAATGGGGTCGAATGCTCTGTAAATAAAATTAATGTCATAGCACTCGCGCACCAATCACATCACATCTTGCATCTTCTTTTTACGTCTAAGAATATTGTATTTTTGTTCATAGTGAGCTTTTTGTTCGTGTTCCTCATAGACCTGACAACCATGAGTAGCTTGTATAGAATTGTTTGAAATATTTAATCTTTAATGAACTATGTTATAACAATATTGTCCCGTCCTGGTGTAAGTCGTTATATTCTCATCCTTTGCTCTAGATATATAAACCCACTCAATTTACGTGATACTGACTTACGCTCAATAGACAAGCTTCAACTTCCGCCGTTACTTTGGAAACTTGCGCGCGTTGGTGTAAAAACGTTCTTATTTCTGAGTAGGAGGCCCGAACTCGAGGAAGGCACGACATTGCACTTTTTAACGTTACCCGATATTATCGTCTAGAAATGTCTAAGTTAGACAGGTCTGTCTGGGCAACTATTGGGTTTGTTCTTTTTTCTCCGATATTATCGGTAATATTGTATAATAATGTCAAAAATTGTCTAAGTTAGACATCTCTGCCAACATTTCATTAGATTTTATTAGACGATAATATCGGAGAAAAACGATCTTCCCCAATAGTTGCCAGACATGGGTCTCTAACTTAGACATTATTAGTTCCCGTTCGGACATTTGTGCGTCCGTGCTTCTGTGCGTCCGTACCTGTATCTTAGAAATGCCTGGACGAATCATAATCAAACTTCACACGTACATCATGTTTCACGATCTGATTCAAGATGCCCGAATGGCGGCCATTTTTGTGCTAAAAAATCATCATAATCAAGCATTTCTCGGCTGTTTAAAAATGGATTGTGTTCAAATTTTTATCATTCATTATACATAACATTTTATTTTTCAGATCGGATTCAAAATGGCTGACTGCCGGCCATTTTGTTTTAATGAATGGGCTTCTAGACCCATATCTCTGACTTACTTTGACTGATTGTGTTCAAATTTGTAATATTCATTATACATTATGTCATAGATTTACAGATATATTGCTTTGACAATCCTATTCAAAATGGCCGAATGGTGGCCATTTTTGTGCTAAAATCATCAAATATCAAGCATTTCTGGCATTTATGAATGGATTTCGTTCAAAACTTAGTACACACATTAGACATTACGGGTTCCTGATGCACATCATTTTATTTTTCAGATCGGATTCAAAATGGCTGACTGAAAAACGAACATCCTCAATAGCCGCCCAGTCATGGGTGTTATCGTCTAATAATGTCTATGTTAGACATCTTTCTTTTGGTACCTATTGGAGCAGTTCATTTTTCTCCGATATTATTGTCTATAATATTGATATTATCGTCTAATAATGTCTAAAAATGTCTAAGTTAGACATCTCCATTGTTGGTAACTATTGGGACAGTTCGTTTTTCTCCGATATTATCGATACTGTCGTCTAATAATGTCTAAGTTAGACATCTGTGTCAACGTTTTATAAGAAGATAATTATCCGATAATGTCGGAGAAAAACTATTTTCCCCAATAGTTGCCCAGCCATGTAACTTAGACTTTATTAGACGATAATATCGGAGAAAAAAACGTAACACGAACAGTTCCATGCGTTACTTATCACTACACAAAGCATATATAGAAGATAATATTTGGTAATCGTAGTTCTAAATAACTAA